TCTCTCTCGTGTCTCGCAATCAAGGATGACCAATGCTCGATTGAAACCTATTGCTGGTATCAATCTGATGATAGTACCAGGTCACGAGGAAGCTTTGCTGATGTGTATGGTTGAACGACTTGTATTATCTAGGTCTAAGAATTGGGGGCGAGGTTGTAGTGGGAGCGTGCTAAGGCTAAGGTCCGTGCGTGCACGTGTATGTGCACGTGCACTATGCTTTTATTTTATACTTTACTTAGCAATACATCTTTTTGTCGAGGCCTTAAAAGCTTTCGGCAGTACTTTAATTGTATCTAAACTAATATACCTTTTTTTGTAGAGTAGAAGTAAAAACACTTTTAAGAGCATAGTCTATTTAATTTTTACCGAATATAGCAGGTACGACTTTTAAGAGGAGAAAACCTTTTATGACACACTTTTACCACCCTTTGTTAAGAAAACACTTATTACTGAACTCTATAGCTTTAGCACTTTTATTCGAAGCAGTTGTATAAAAGCAGCGTGATCTGTATCATTTAATAGCTTTATTATACCGTCGACGACGTTTTCTTTATTAAGAATATATTATAAATCGAATCGTCTTTCTGCTACTTTATAGCGTACGTAATAGAACTTGATATCGATATGCTTGATTCTTTAATAGTATTTAAAGTTTTCGAAGAGTGAGAGTGCTTTTTATAAGTTACAAATCATCTTAATTTTCTTCGCGTTAGCCTTCTTATAGCTAACCTCATTGAGTACCTGCTTAATCCAAGCGGCTTTTTAAGCGAATTTGCATATAGTTACGTACTTAGCTTCGATTAAGGAAAGAGCTATAATAGTTTAGCGTTTAGAAATGACGTTAAAAACGCTTTTTGCAAAGAAGAATACTCTTTCGCTATATAAGACTCGACTTATTTTAAAGCCGGCTTAATCGGAGTCGCAATAGCTTATTAATTTAGTAAGCTTAGCGTCTTTTTTACTAAAAACAATTGATAATATACGAGTATTTTGTAAGTATTATAGAACGCGCTTTGCGGCAGCTATATATTAAAGTGACGGATTAATTAAGAATTTAGCTAATAAAAAGCAATGATAAGCAATGTCCTATCGAGTATAAGTTGCGAAGTATTATAAAGAGCTAACGATTGATTAATATAATGTAATCTCGTATTAAGTGGCTTAGCTTTCGAATTTGATTATATGAACTTTAGAACTTGTTGCAAAAAGTGTAAGTGCACTCTTGCAATTAAATATGCCGAATCGGTCTAACATTTTATCAATATAAGCGTCTTAGTATAAAGTAATAGTACTTGCGAGTCGATCTTTAACGATTCTGATTCTTAAAAAGTAAGTAGCTTTACCGATACAAGTAATATCGAATAGGTCGTGCAAATCTTTCTTGAATTGCTTGTAAATTAATCTCGATTTATCGATTATTAAAAAGTCGTCAATATAAGTGATAATTATGATTTTGAAGTCTTTGTTAATATAAATACAATTGTCGATTTCTATAAAAGCGAATCTTAGCTTAGCAAGTCGCTTTCGTAGCAACTTTTGCTAAAAGCGTAATAATTGTTTAAGGCTATATAAAGCTTTGAATAGCTTTAAGCAGTCCTTATTAATAAGAGTGTAGCCGAATTCGATCTATCTTAATAAAGCTTTAATATAGATATTATTATTAGCCTTACTATTTAAGAAAGCAGTGTTAATATCGAACTATTAGACCTTTAAGTCGTATAAAGCGGCTAAAGCAATTGCAAGCTTCTAAACAGCTGATTTGCATACTTTAGCGAAGGTCTAATCGTAATCACGGCTTTTTTGCTATATATAGCCTTAGATTACGAATCTCACTTTATATCGCTCGATCTTTTTATTCTTATCTCTTTTAGTCTTAAATAATAAACGTAAGCTTAGAATGCGTTTATCTTTAAGGATATCACGCTTCTTTATAATTGATTACGTCTCTTTGCGTCGAAAAGCAAAGTACTTTTTGATAATAGCTTAGCGCTAGTTATTTGCATTTAAGCGTATTAAAGCCTTTTTTATAGTCTGAAGATCATTTGCAAATAATGACTCTTTAGCAGCGTTAAAGTAGGTCTATTAGTAAGTGTTTGTGTTAATTCCTTCTTTAATAGTTACGTTTGCTGATAGAGCTGCAGCAGCGTTGCGAGTGCTAGACCGAGTATTTACTCGTTCCGAAAAAGGAACCTGAAGGTAGATTTTGCGTGATCTCCGAATAGTAAGAGCTTCGAGAGTCTTATTATTTACTTTAAAAGGAACAACCTCCTTTTCGACCTTCTCTTTAACCTCTTTTTTATCGTTTAAAGAAGGAGCTTTATAAGGTTTAAAGAGCTTATCGGTAGCTTCTTCGTCTTTAATCTTTTTTAAATTATTATCGAAATCTAGTTTATCTTAAACGTAGTGATCAAGGCTTTTAAAAGACTTTTAACCTTAGTTATACTAGCTAAAAGTAAGCTGACTACGATCAACTTGGTCACTTTTAGCTTTAAATAGCACCTTTTCTTCTTCTTTAAAAGTAAGTTCGATAACGAGTCTATCCTTATTAAAACGAATATAAGAAGTACGAACCACTTTCTTATTAGATCGAGAAAGAACGTATACTCGCTAGATGTTATTGCCTTCGAAACCAATTAATGTTCCGACCTTAGCTTTAAGCGCTAGTTTACGACTTTATACGCGGCGTTCAAGCTTAATTAAGACGTAGACTTTGCATTCGAGTACTCGCAAGTGCTTGACCGAAGGTTTATAAATTACTCTTAATTTAATATTATTTTAAAAAGCCTCGTAAAAGGCCTTTCCATTTAAAAGAGCAATATTAGCTATAAGATTGATAATATAGATTACTATTATTAAGCACTCGAGCTATAAAAACTTAAGAATCTCTTGATCAATAGTTGCGGTGCGTAGCTTTTCTATTAGAGTACGAATAAATCGCTTTGATCTATCGTCTTGTTCGAAAGTATAAAGTATCGATTCTTTAAGTAATATACTTAAGTGGTTTGCTAACTCTTTTATTTGCTTAAAAGAGTATTCTTTATTTCCGTCGCAGCGCTATACTTTAATAATGCGATTATATTAAGTCTTAGTAAAGCGAATTATTTTTTTATTGATTAAGAAAGCGTCACTTTTGATTGCGTAAGTATATCTTTACTTAGCTATTATAGCTAAGCAAGTGAAGATTGAAGCGTATTTATGACCGTAGATCTTAATAAAAATCAAATAGACTATATCTACGTGTAGCTTTTATAAAGCAATCGTAAGTCTCTTGCGTGCTAATACTTTATTAGTCTTCCGAATAAGACGACCCTTTTTATAAAAAGCGCAAATACGTGTTTTATTAGTTTTGGTCTCTTTAAACTTTATTTCGATAACATTACCTTAAGTATCGCGAACCGCTTATAAGCTAGCATAGCATATGCGTCTATGCTAAAGTTTAATATCAATAAGAGCCTTCTTAATAGCTGCAAGTAAAGCGTAGCCGGTAATAAAAGCAAAAAGTGCGCAAGAGTTATCTTTAATAATAAACAGCTTAGCATTTATTTTATAGATCTCTTTGTCGGTAGCCGTAAGCAACTTACTTCCTTTTAAGTAACTACCGATTTTGCTTAACTTTAAGCTTAAGTACAGATTGACGGGACTTTAAAGCATATAAAGCGTGTTTTTACACTTAATAACGCTTGCTAAGCTTCGTGATTTAAAGCATTTAATGATATAAGTGCTAATATTAAAGGGGCGAATTAAGCTTCTTATAGTATTTATAAAAGAAAGATCTTTTTTAGCTATATAAATAGTAAACTTAAAGAGATTATTACAAACGTAATTAGTTGCTTTTATGTCGTAAAGCTAACGATTTTTGTTTGACGACGTATAATATGCTATGCCACTTGCAATAGCAATAGCTAAAAGTTTTTTAATAAAAAGAAGCGCATAAAAAAAGATCTTTCCGTCAACTTCCTTATCGTCTTTCTTTTTGTTATTATTGTTTCTTTTACTTTTCTTGTTCTTAATACGCTTAAAATATAAGATAGACTTCTTGCTAGTTTTCTTTTTAAACGCTTTTCGAAGCTCTTTATTGATGACGAAGCAATCTTTAAAAAGGTGTAAAGGTTTGGGCTGCTTGCAGTGCTTGCAATTAAGTCTTTTATTTGCAACTTATTATAACTTCGATTTGTTTGTTGCATTTCTATTTTTATTGCTACTTTTGTTTTTCGCATTCGAGTTATTCGAGTTCGAGTTTGAGTTTAATTTATTACCGTATAAAGCTTAATTATTAATTATTTTAGTTGAATCGCTACTTCGAGCCTTATCGGTGATGTCTTTAATAAAAGACTCGAAGGTGATTTTTGTGACGACCTTAAGCGATTACCTAAAGGAACTCACGGAAGCGCGGGGGTTCATATAAGAGCTTAAGAGAATCTTAAAGTAATAACTTAAAATCAATAATTACCGAGTATAAAGGTCGAAGGTAGCTAAGGTCTATATACACGAAAGTAAAAGCGCTAAGGATTCGTAAACTATAGTTTATAAATCAAAAGCGAAGAATAAAAGAATATAAAGAATACGAAAGAAAAAAGGAAAGAAGTAGCTTAGCGTATATAAGATGCGTCTAAGAGATTTAGCGTGTCGTTATATTACTTTTCTATTCGAAAAAAGCTCGTTTTCGAGCGTTTATCTATTGCCTTATTACTATTTAAGTAATCGTAATTATTAATACCGTTCGAATAAGCTTTAATCCATTCGAAAAGCTTCGCGAGAAGGCCGAAAAGCTTTTTATGTTTTAAGTAAAAGTCACGTACTTTAAAAAGAACGTATATAAAGTCGAAAGCGGAATATTAAGTAAAGTTAATATCGCG